GCCTCAAGGTTCCCACCTTTCACCACTCCTATTCCTACTCTATATAAATGACCTGCCCAACGCTATGCAACATTGCACGCAATATCTATTTGCAGATGATGTCACCCTCCTACTGGCTTACAAACCTGAAGACACCCTCGCCAGTAGAGCGAACATGCAGTCTGATCTCGATGCATGTCAAACATGGGGCAGGAACAATGGAGGTGAATTCTCAGCAAGCAAGACACCCGTCTGTGCCATAGAGCTATCAAAGATACACCTACTGCAGGAATCCAATATCAAATGTACAATGAGCCATTAACGGTGGTTTCTGAACTGCAACATCTTGGCATCACCTTGACCGACAACCTGGATTTCCGCAAACATGTCGCCTCAATAACTTCGAAGTTCAGATATCGAGTGCACCTACTGTCAATAATGTCCCAGCAACTTACGCCTTCGGCAATGATCATACTGTACAAAGGGTTCGTAAGACCGGTGATCGAATATAGCTGTACGGTGTGGTCGTTTGGATCTAATAAGAAACCCATGACCACTCTTGATCAATTACAGGCAAGGTTTGCTAGAGCTCTACTGAAAAAGAAAAATATTGCATTTGATTACACTTCTTCCAAATCTGTCTTAAATTCTAAATGCTCCCTAGAGTCACTAGCCTATCGTCGTCAAATCATCAGTCTCACTACTTTTCACAGATATGTTTTCCATCATCGTGATTACCTTGCTGATTTCCATTTCAAGATTACGAATAGTGAGCGACGACCAAATAAAATCATTCTTCCCAAATTTAAATCATTGTCTAAGTCTCTCTTCATGTTCCGAACTGCTATTCTATGGAACTGTTTACCCCCAAGTCTAACATCGGAAGCCTCGCTCTATAAGTTCAAAGCTGCCCTCAGGAAATTTCCAGCTGACTATGCTTATGCAATCAACGGAATTCCGCCACCTTGCAGTTGATTTTCCCCATTTCTCTCCTCATCAATCCCTACTTGTCTTTGTACATACATCTACATCTACTGTTCTTTCAATCAAATGAACCCCTCGATAGGCACATTGCCTTTGGGTCATTTCATCATAATAATAATAATAATAATAATAATAATAATGAGCAGCGAACTCATTCCCAACGATGAACTATAAATCAATCTGAGGCTGTAGCTTGGGAGCTCCGGTATCGCGGTTTAGGGATCAGAGTGTTCACCCAGCACAAAAATGCACACCATGGACACACACATCCGTGCACACACACACACACACACACACACACATGCATGCTCTCACACGCAATAGAACACACGCGCGCGTACACACACATACATTCACGCATGTGTGCGTACCCACCCACATGCATGTGCACACTCATCTGCATGAGTGGAGATGCCCACATACACATGTCACACCAACATGCCCTGGGAGCGGCCATGCACGTGTGTATAGTATGTGTGCGAGGGCACGTCCACATGAGCGCATATGCATGTGCATGCTCATACATGCGTATGGTGCACACATGCACAAACATGCAGGTCTATGCAAACATACACACACACTCGCGGCCGCCGCGCATACAGTGTGCTCATACATTTCCATAGCCATACGGCACATAGAGTGGCAATGACTCGCAAATATCATGAATAAATCTTATGAGATTGAAAAACGCACTTACCCAAAGCAGCTTTGGTGTTGCTTGTGGACGCACGGGGGCCAGGGTGTTGAGCAGTTACAGGGCTATCTGTAATGTATCTATAAAATTCTCCATCCCACACTGCTGACACAGAATGAGAAGTACGCTGCCCAGGTCGTACCTCTTCTCTTCAACGCAATCAATGAGCGCCAGAGCTTTGCCACATCCAGGATTCCGGCACGCAGACAATCCCACCGCCAGATACCTGAGATGTACGATTCGTCGACCGTGAAGAGGGGCACTGAACGACCTCTTCGCGGGAGTCGAATCCAGTGGCGTTAGTGGTGGAGATCGCCCTTTCCGTTTTTCAGGAACTCGATCGATCGTTTGAGTTTGCGAAGCGTCCCCGTCCTCGGCTTCTTGCATCGTCCAGTACGCAGAATGAGAGGACGCATCGTGGGTGACGGATTACTCTCCCGCGTCTTCATCTCCACGACACGTCGGCAGGAGAACCGAGCTATCCAAAAACAGCCAATGTCAAAACAAATCCGCAAGTCCACTAGTGGCTGAGCTTCTTCCTCAAATCTTGTCTCGACTCGAGCACGCGCTGCGAAGTCATGGTCAAATTGCTTATTTTTTTACTCGATTGTGCATGACCGCGTCCCATTTTTCCACTCCGAAAGGCATTATTTTCAGAAAAAAAATCGGAAATCCAACATGGCGCTAACCGTCGCGAACCTCCTTAACTAGATTCTTCTTTTCGTGATGGCTTTTCTCTATCCTTGAAAATATGTATACCTCTTTCCACGCTTACAATTCTTTTCCAGGAGAGTCAACATGCCATTCGATTCTTAATCTCGAAGTTTCGAAAACCAACAATGCTTTTTCAACATAATATTATTACACACCTGCACTAAGTGAGTGTTTACCTTTTCAGGATACTGGGTGCATCTTCATAACCTTCTCTTTCGCCACCATAAACCCATTGATCTCCTTTGAGTGCTTTCATAATTATTATACTTCAAATCAGCGAGCCAGCGTGGTTTCAAGCATACAATCACTCTTCCTTATTTATTGTACTTTTTCTGTCTATAACAATCACCCCCATTCTCTCACTAACCACCTTACCATTAGCCATCTAGCGCTATCCACTTTGCCAGCTGTTTTCTATGTTGTTTTGCATCACTAGTTGCTTAAACCAAACACACTGTAGTCTGAATCACGAGCAAAAGCTGAAGTTCAATTGACGAGTAGTTACAGTATCCAACATTTCTGTGACATGCATGGCGGGTAAATTTTACGTCATTTATTGTCATGAAAAGAGCCCTCTGTAAACTGTTGTTCGTGGAACTGTACGACAGGAAAGTTTCGTGTGTGTGTGTGTGTGTGTGCGTTCGATATCTACCTCTGTCACACACCCCGGGAACGAGGAGCACGGATGTTCCCCTGCTTCTTTTCCCGAGGATCATATCTGCCGCCGCCACACACAGCCCTTCATATCAATGTCCCGCTCTCTGGAATAAGTTGCCTGCATCTATACGATCACTGAAGAAACCAGGTCAATTCCGGACCGCTGATGAAATAATTATGCAATCTTTCCTCTTCTGTCTTAAATCCTACTTTATTTTCTTTTTTCTTTTAATCTTTTCCTAACATTTGTGTGCCTGTAACTTTAGTCGATCTCATGTAATAAGGCAACACTGCCTGTTTGTTATTCGACGTCAAATACCAATCCAAGCAGCGGTTTTGGGAGCATAGAGTTAGGCGTATAAGGTGTATGATCATCAAGTGAGATGTGACAGGAGCAGCGTGAAACTGTCACTAGAGAGGTTTTGCAGAGCGAACGTTCGCGCAAATTTTCGTTTGACGTCACGAAAAGCGAAACTTCGTGCGAACGTTCGAAGTTTTGAACGCGAAAGTTGCAGGAAACGCGAAACAAACTTTCGCAGTAATTTTCGCTCTTTGTGGACCACTGGTCAGCCTGGTGCACGACGCGGTGAGCGACCCTCAATCTTCATGTTTGTGCTTGATCTCTACTCTTAGCTTGGTCCGCGAGTGCTAGCTTTCCGATACTTGTGGCTGCCCGTGTTGCTTCGTCTCCAGAACCATCTCCGATCTCCTGCTTGCTCGTCTTCTCACTGCTCAGAGTCGGTTACATCAATGATGCCTTTTTGAATCCCAGCCTCAGGTGTTGATGCACAAGATTACGGCACAAGCCAACCCGGCCCGTTTGTCTGTGGGTCTCCGGCCATGGACAACGTAGTCGAAGAGCTCTCGTCTCAGGCCGTAACTCAGGGTACCTGGTGTGCGTGCCGCCACTCGCAACAAACAAATCATCGGATAGAGACCACTTCTCAAAAACAAGCGAGTGCACACGAAAATTTCTTGGAGCGAGAAAAAATGCAAACTTTCGCAGTAATTTTCGCTCTTTGTGGACTGTTCGTGCACGGTGACCCACCCTCAGTCCTCATGTTTGTGCTTGATTTGTATTGTATTGTATTGTATTTTATTATTTTACTTGGGCATTCCCAACAGGCCCTAAGGGCTTCTTACAGGGTACCCAAGATGAATGAAATTGTTAAGTTCCTGGAGAAATGAATTGGGGATATGATTTGAAGGGATTCGGGAAGCGCATTAAAGCGGTCAGCACTAAAGAATGAAATAGATCTGTATCCAGCTTGAGCTTGCACAATGGGTAAGGAAAGGGAATAATTGACTTGGCCTCGGGTTACTCTATCTGTGTGAGTGCAGTCACGGCGAAGGGAGAACATGTCAGAGAGGAGTGAACTGCAGATATTGTGGATGCAACCGAACACGAAGAATATGGACTTAGTATGATATCTTTTGTCTAAGCTAATTATGTGGTATCGCTCAAGCAAGTATGATGTCCGCGTGAATGTGTCATGCTCAAATATGCATCTAAGTGCTCTCTTACTTATGCGTAGCAGCTGATCTCTCACTTTGTCAGCGAGGCAGTGGACGTAGGCAGTGCTGACGTACTGGAGCTTGCTCTGGACTACTGACAAGTAGAACTGCCAACTAGCCTGGACAGCAAGGTTCCTCCTTCCACTGAGGGGGTTCACGTGGGCACTGAAACATAAAGTTGAATCAAGAGCCAGTTCTAGATACTTAACTTCGTCGAGCTCGTTATGGTGCTCACAAAACAAACAATGGTATTTGCAGATGACGGTCGGCGAGATACGCTCAGTTAGCCATGGAGGCGAAGACTCATTGAAGAGGTAGCCAGTGATCTTGTAAAATCTGCAACAGCGTGACACCTTTTCAAAAGCTACAGTGGTGTCTACTGTTACTGGAATAACTGCTCTCCAAGAGTTAATAGGGCGCAGCCATTCAGAAGATTCAGCAGGTCTACTACCACTAGAGCATTTGGCAGAAGCCCAAACTGGTACTCGGCTAGATGTTTCATGATACTAATGTTAATGATGCACTACATGACGTCAGACTTGAACCTACTTGTACTTGTGCTGTGCATCTACGCACTGCGGCGCAGGAAACCAGGCACAATTGAAACTGGATATCTACCATCATGATTATGCTATTACAGCAAGAAGGTACAAGAACATTTACTCGACAGGATTTTGCGTGAGATTGATTTTGTCGTCGCTGGGAAAAGACTGTATTTTGAAGCGCCTCCAAAGTCACCGTTCGTGGAGCTGAGTCACCACAACGAGTCTTTTCTAGATAATCAGCTGAACGCTGATCGAAGGCAAAATGAACCTGCGGACAACTACTAGCCTCTCTGTACGGTTTGCATTGTTGTGGGTGGTCTCGTTTCGTAGTGTTCTCTCCAGGACCGTCCTTGCAGGAACCCACGCCAGTACTGGAAATGCAACAGGTAAGAGCATTTTTATAGCGATGTTAGTTTACAACCCAACATCATTTTGTCTGTGGACTGGTCGGACGAAGGTAAACTCTTGAGTATCACAAGCTATTAAACCCTTCCTAACCTCTTTGTTTTCTTTTCCGGTGGGATCATTTACTTGAATGGATTTAAAAAAAATGCGCTGCAGTGTTTGTGGCTGAAAGCAACTGTACTCGTTTGTTGTGCAATCATTTTCACTTTTTGTCCATTATTAGGTGTTGATGAGTCGTGTATGGCACGAGTTCTTCATCTTCTACCATCTACAGCTCTTCGTCTTAGCATCCAGGACACAGAGACACTACTTGAAATAATTGGCCTACGTCAACCCATTGATCAGCTCAACTACGCCAACGCTGACACCGCATCCCTATCAGCTTTGCTAGGTGGACGGCAGAATGCTGAAATGCTGGTACAGTGTCTGAGTGAGTCTACTGATCTACTACACATATGCTGTACTTCTAATGAACTGATGACAAACATACAAGTCTATGTTTGTGACTTTACACACACGTAACCCTGGTCCCTCACTCTTCGGGAATTTCTAGATACACGTATGTGAAAACTTGTCTCAGTAACTCATCAGACAATATTTTACCTGGCCCACCTGTACCGAGTCTGGCCTTACACAAACCTCAGAGTACATGACTGATTGTGTAGGCTTGAGCAATTTTGGTCTCCTTTGCATTGCCCAGGTTATATAAACGTTCAGCACCAGGGAGAAGAGCTTTATCGGTAGCGAGTACCATAACATGCTTTGCATTCAATTGATAATACTCGTCATCAATTTTTGGAAAGATTAAATTAAATTGCTGACGTATATATCAGTCTTTGAATTCTGTTGTATTGGATTTGATACCACAAATTTGTACCCCAATCATTTTAGCATTCAGGAGCGCTCTAGCCGGCTGATTTTTGTAAGAGAGTTCTAATACTTTATCCACCCACCTTTTGTTTCGAATTTGACTATTGTCTTATGCAGGTGGGCATCTTGAGCAATGTCGCCAAAGTCCCCCATGCAGCAATGCAGGAAAATGCATTTTCAGCGGTTCTCGACAAGGGAGAGACTCGTCGTACATTTGCCACTGCAATGATGGTCATTCTGGAACGTATTGTCAGACCGGTAATATTTTCATGTATTAGTGATACGTAGTGTTACGCCAAAATAAAGGATTCTTCATCTCAAACGCTCAAACACGGTCTCTTTGCTACATACCGTGTACGTCACTTGAAATGTTCAACATTGTTTTGGGCCCGTCCAATCAATAGGGTGAAATAGAAAAATGTTTTGGTAGAACTAATGAATTTTAACGTAATTAGGTTAACGTTATTAGAGAAAACCTAACTTTGTCTAACATCTACCAGAGGTTTACCTGAATTCCTGATAAATTTGAAACATCATGGTGTTGAAAAGAGAAAAGTGTGAAGAAATGATTGACTGCCACCACCAGACCTCAAACCATTCCGGAGCTATGGTGTAGCTGACATCTCATCAGATTTTAACAAACATATATTATTATTGACTCTTGAGACTTCAGAACTCCAGCTTCCAGTGACTCTGCATAGGACACAATAACGTTATTGAAATTGAGTGTTTCTTGAACCCTCTTGCTCTTTTACTTGCCTTTTCTACCGCTCAGTTCTCCCATCGTGCGCTGGAAATCCATGTCAGAATGGGGCAACATGTCAACAAAGAGGATCATCATTCCATTGTCACTGTCCTCCACTGTATACTGGACACCATTGTGAAAAAAGTGAGATTCATAACTCAGGAGGGAAACATTAAAAATTTAACGGTTGTTCTCAAGTTATGAAGTGGTACTTTTTAACACGTGACACTCACTGTACCAAGATTTCAAAAGAATGTGTTATACTTTTGCCAGTACGAAAATGTATATGCCTCCCTACTGGGATTCATCGATATCATGATAGGTAAGTATTAGTAGGTCACTTCCTCAACCAAGGTATCCGTTTTTGTTCTCTTGTCAAACATTAAAGCCAAATTGACGAAGCGGGTTAACCCGTTATGTACTGATTCCCAGGACAGAATGAAGCAGAATTTGAATTTTCATGACAATGTTCACCTTCAACAGGATGTAACGTTCGCCTCCTCCGCTCAAGTTCCATAATCTAAGACTCGTTTGGAAGCTCTGGTTTTAAAAGCGCATATCTCCGAATAATCTATTCAACTAGATCCCTGTCTAAGCGCTTATGTGAGACCAAATATTACGGGTGACAGTGGTGTGAGTACTGGGGTTACTAATGTAGTGTACTTGACAGCTTCCTCCTATAGATTGTAATCGGTACTCCCTGATTGCTAGTCAAATGACGAAACACAATGTTTTACCATCCATGTGTGTGTTTATACAATAGAGTGGCTGGATGCAAGAACGTTCCGAAAGTACGCAAACACAGTACATCAAATCAGTGACCAGATGAAGAACCTGGAGCGAGGGATAGACGCAGCCAGACATGACGACGTCAGTCGGATCGAAACCTTTCTCCAGAGACTTGAGCAAAAAGTCATGACTAAGTTCAATTCCACTTTGACTCAGCTCTCATCTGAAGTTGTAGCACCGGTAAGCACAGTACATACATCTACATGTACATATACTCATATAGTCATGTGTGCAGTCATGTGCAGGTATGTTTATCGTCATTTTCAGAGTACCGCATTTCTCGCTCCACATATACTGGCATACACAGACACATAGACAGCAATAGCGACAACACACGAAGTGAAGGGTAGTTGGCCGCAGCCACATGTTACTGGTGAGACTCAAGACTGAGTGAAGAAGTCAGGAAAAGAAGCGACAATAAAGAACACACCAGATGCTATATTTGCAACGGAAAATGTTTCGCGAGAAATCATTTCTCGCAATCTGGCTGCGCTTGGCCGGCGAGAAATACAACGTCTACATAGTATTATGTATTATTTATTTGCAAATGTTGTTTATCAATGAAAAAGGATGAGGCAAGTAAAGTGTGTCTGGTAGTAACCCTACTGAAGGCAAACAGACTGAACAATTGCCTGTAGTTTGTATGTCATGCCCTTACATTAGCATAGCTGTCAATCCAGCAGAAACAGTCAAACGGTTTCCTCAGACTTCGAAATTCACGCCTCCTGTGAAACTACACAGAATGGTGGTACGCAGCCCTCACTGAACACACACGTTTGCCTTTTCTTGTAGAATCACCGCCTGGATGAAGGCCAGGGAAATCAAGAAGGTATGATGTAGTAAATTGATATTTATTTCAAAGCGTTTAGCTGATAATTATTTTGTACGTGCACACAGAGGAAATTTTTTTTCGTTGCAAATGTGAATCTGCACGTATCAGGTACATGACACAGAAATTGCATATGAACCGCCAACTTGAAAAGGTACTTGTGAGTTTCAGGCCAGAAAGCTACCATCAAACATTATGTTGATATGAATCTCTTTCCAGTGATCTTGAATTGGTGAGAAACTCAGATTCATATTTATATTATATTTATTTATTACAACATCTCAAAACTCGGTGGAAACACCGACCAATGTTAAGAGAGTGGGTGATTGCCAACCCCGGCAATAAATAAAAATTAGGGGAGGGAAAAAGAAAGAGTAGCAAAATGAACAGCAACAACAACTCCGTAAAGAAAGGTTATGTCAAATAAAAACAGTGAAAAACACAGAGACGCAAAGGACATGTGGATAATGAGCTATTTATGTCGTAGTAAATAAGGGGCGGCACGGATCTTAAACAGGCGGAGTGAGGTCAGATCCTTAACTTCTCTGGGTAGAGTGAGCCAAACAGAAAAAAGCAATAAAGAGAGGGGAGCGCAAAAGAGTGGATGAGTTACACTTATGGAGTAAGAGCGAGTTTCTAGTTCTTAGAGAAGAGAATCAATTAAAACACATGAGATGAGGTGGGCACAGCTCAAGCTTAATAGAATGGGCAGGAGAAAGCCAGGTGTGCACTGCGTCCAGGTGATAACGGGGTTGTGTGAGCGATTTTATAAAGGGCGGATGATGAGAGCATGCGGGGTTGACGGAGGAGAATTTTAAGGATTTTCTTGTGGTGTATTTCAAGCTTTGCAGCAGTGGAAGAGGATAATCCAACCCAAGACGTATCGGCATAATCAAATATTGGGCGAAAGTAGGCTAAATAAAAATGAAGCTTGCAAGAAAGAGGGAGGTAGGAGCAGTGGGGGGAGAGAATTCCTATGGATTTACTTTATTTTTTACAGATATATTCGATGTGGGGCACCCAAGAGAGTGCAGAGTCAATCACAATGCCAAGGTGTTTGTGAGAAGACACTATGTCAATTGGAGTTGGAAAGTTGGCATGGATGAGGGTTGTGAACTCTGGCTGGGGCGGGAAGAGCATGATCTTTGTTTTTGATAGATTTGGGGACAATCTCCAGGACGACATCCAGGAAAGAACTTCCTGAATTCCAGCACGCAAGTTGTTTTTCAGGCCAGTGAGGGAAGCTGATTAGGTGAGAAGGGTCGTGTCGTCAGCAAACAGAGACGTTCCAGGGAAGACTGCAGGTAAGTCGTTTACGTAAATTATGAATAGTAGGGGACTAAGAATTGATCCTTGAGGAACGTATGACAATACTGGCTCTGCAGCCGAGGATGTGCCAAGCACAGTTACGTACTGATAACGCCCAGAGCGATAAGATTTCAGCCAGGAGAGTGGTTGTTTATGTACCCTGAATGCATGCTCGAGCTTTGCCAAAAGTCCTCGATGCCAGACAGTATCAAACGCCTTGGCCAGTCAAAGAAGCAAATACCAGCAAGCGCTCTGTTATCCCTGTGCTGGCACACCTGCTGCACGATGCGGGTCAGGTGAAGGGAGGTGGAGTCGTCTTTACGAAACCCAGATTGTGCGAGACTCAGAAACGGGGAAACATGTCTGTATAAGTGATCATAAAAGAGGCGTTCACATACTTTGGACACGCAGGGAAGAAGAGAGATAGGGCGGTAGTTTGCAGGTTCGTGGCGGGAACCTTTCTCGTATACAGGTATGACTTTCGCTGTTTTCCATGCGGAAGGGAATATGCCCGTGGTAAATGACATGTTGAAAATATGGCACAAAGGGAATGCTATGGATGGTGCCAGGGCCTTGAGGACCCGGTTGGGGATGCCGTCGGGCCCAGATGCCTTGCACGTCGGAAGCTTCTTCAGATGACGCCGGACAGTGGCAGTTGTGGTGATGACTTACGTGAAACAAGCTGAGGGCTCCGAGGGGGTGAGAATAGGGGGGAATAGAGAGCACCGGGTCATCAGGCCGAGTCACAGAGGCAAACTGGGCGTTAAATGCGGTAGCTTTGGCCAAAGGGTCAGCCGCCTGCTGTCAGCTACAAGAGTAGCAATACCGCCATAGTCTCTTGCTGGCAGGTTATCAGAGCTGGTCGTAGGTGGGCAGTCCAGGCGGTATGACGTGTAGCCTGGAATTGAGACTTCTATGGCAGCTGTCAGCCACGTTTCACATAGGCAGATTATGTCTGGAGAATACTGCTCACAGACTTGACTAAGCTCAGCTAACTTATTTACTATGGAGGGGCAGTTAAGTGGGAGCACTGAGAACGATGAAGGAAATTGGGCAGGTTAATTAGGATAAGTAGTTTGTCGTCCATAATCAGGAACGAATGGTGGTGCAAGTGAACTTGCGTGGGGCACAAAGGGTTGGGCAAGAGGATTTAGCTGTTGGCTAGGTGACCGAGGACCCATCACTTGCTAGCGGAGTCGACATAGCGCCATTTGCGGACGGTGTGCGCAATGGTGTCGGGTCAGAATTCCTTTTCAAGCAGCGTTTGCTCAAACTCTTCCGCGACAGAAACGCGTGCATAGCAGGTACCAAAGTATTGGGTTTCGGCAATTGTGCATGCGTATACATCAACACCCCGATCAGCGCACCAGGTTACAATGGACTGTGCCTTACTTCCAGGACTAACATTCCCGACAAAGAAGGCACATCGCTTGGGAAGATGTGTGCCAGTGAGTGTGTTGGGGTTGGGGTTTTCTGTGGCCATTTTTTTGTAGACAGACACAACTTTGGATTTTGTTGCCCAGGCAATGGGATCGCTGTGGGTCGCTGATTTATTGCTCCTTCGCCGCTGTTCTTGCCAGTTGTTCTGATGGTGATCGCCTTCTGTGCTCCCAGCAGCACCCTGAATACATGTGGGCTGTACTGGTGCACCACCGGTCACCGGCGCTTGCGCCCCCAGTTGTTGCATTTCTACCAGTGTGTACGGGTATGTTCCTGCGTTCCATGTGGTTGGTGTTAGGTACGGTGGCTCTGCTAGTGCTAGTTGAACTGCTGTGTAGAGTGCGTGCATCCTCTTCTGGCTGTGTGCTATTCGTACTCACTGTACGAGTACAACGGGATTGCATGTCTGGAGTGTCGCGGTGTACGGGTTTGGATGAACCATTGTACTGCTGCTGGGGAAGCTGTTGCACTTCCCCCTTCAGCTCCGAAATTTCCAGCTTCAAGGACAAAATTATGCTATCCCTGTCCTCCCTCATGGAGGCAATCTCCTCCGCCAAGGCCTGGATAGTGTTAGCAAGGCTGTCTAGCTTAGAGTCATTAATCCACGACGTACCGGTGTCAGTGACGGGCTTCACTCCAACGCCGTGCTTCCGCAGTGCCTGCACCAGCTCTGGCCGGGCGAGGCTCGAAGGGGAGTCCAGGGACTTGCGTTTAGCGATAGCGATTAGTTCCTGGTACCTGATCAGGGCAAGATCAAGGTTCTAGTCCAGGGACATTCTTAGTTTCAGCAAGGACAAAGGTAGAAGGGTAAAACTGCTAAGGGGGGCTCCCGGAAAGCTTTTCTTCTTCTTCTTCTTCTTCTTCTTCTTCTTCTTCTTCTTCTTCTTCTTCTTCTTCTTCTTCGGTAACTACAAGTCATAATAAATATGAAAATGACTGTGAGAGTACAGTGTACATGTAGTAGAAACTTAGATCAGTTTCTCCAGTTGCAAGAACTGGATAGCTTCTGATGGTTGTGTGAGAATTGCCTCCCTGACTGATGTGAAGGTACATAGACGTGTACCTGCTGGACTGCTGTGTCTGGCAGGGCAAGCTAGCAGGAGGTGGGCAGCATCATCAACTGTTCCAGGACAGTGAGTGCAGTCGGGTGAAGGTGCCGCCTCAATCTGGAACAAGTACTTATTCAGCAGGCTGCAATGGCCAGTGAGCAGCTGATTGAGGATGGTGGTCTCATGCCGGGATGGAGGGCTGCGGAACTTGCTGGTGTTGAGTAATGGCCGGGGGTATGCGGTTGCAGACCGAATTGAAGCCTTGGCAGCTTGGATAAGTAGCTGAACCTGGGCCTGTACACACTGTGTTCCATTCCGCGCAAGGCGATCCGCCTTGTCATTGAGAGCAACACCGCAGTGGCTGCTGATCCAGACAAGGTTGATGGAATGATCCTTGCGAGCAACCTCTGTCAGAGCATCGAACGCAGCAATGGTGTCTGGGCTGATCCTGTATGGGTCTCCACGGAGGGCATCTACGAGGGAGAGGCTGTCAGTGACCAGCACAACGTCCGTCTCCATGGTGGTAAGGTCGTAGACTGCCCTCAGGCCAGCTGCTGCTGCTGCTACTTCGGCAGTGAAGGATGTTGCGACAGCGCCAGCTGGTAGACACCCAGACAGTATCTCTGACCGCTGGGTTGCAGTGGTTTCCATGACAAGAAAACCACCTCCACCAGCGTTGGTGTCAGAGACACTGCCATCTGTCCAAATGTCTAGACGCCGCGAGGAACAACAGGAGCGATAGGCTTTGTAACAGTTTTCCCCTGTTCTCTATAACTTTACACTCCCTCGCACCTCATGCGTCTTACGCCTGTCTATTAGCACCTTCATTGGCGCCATTGCCACATGTATACTATCACATTTGTATATAACTGGTCGAGGCACGCTCAACCAGGCCTCTTACTTTTCAAGTTTGATTAAACCTGTTACACTGGTAGCAGAGGATGGTTACTACTCTGCTTTTGGCAGGTGTTCTGGTCGCTCTGCTTACGCTCCTCGTACTCGTCGTTCGGCTGATAAACGATATCAAGACCGCTCAGCGCGTTAGCCAAGGAAACCGAACGATACATCCGAACTCGGAACCGTGGGAGCCAACACCCCGCCTTACAAAAGAGCCGCCTGTGTTTGGAGGAGATTCCGCTACATTCAAAGAATGGACGTTTGCAATGGACATGGCCCTACGGTCGTTGGCACTCCCAAATGCGG